CAACACTGGAAAAAACGCACAGGGAATTATATCATATTTTAAATGTACTATGTAAACTTTTGACATGGAATTCATAGTGTCTTTTCTAGATCCACTAAGAACTTCAAATTTAACTTGATCTGAGGTGAATGCAATCTTTTCAATTCTCTTAATTTCTTCAATTTTTAAATATTAAAAGGAAATTTATTCACCTCTTATCTTGAATCTTGCTTCCCAATTGTTATAACATTTAAAAGACTAGATAAATCTTTTCCAAAGTACTTATTAAGATGTGTTAGGAATGATCCATTGACGGTCAACCTGGAGGACTGTAAGAATGAGCTCAACAAATTGATATTGGAAAGCCCAGGAGTAATTCCATATTTGCAAGGACTGTGAGTTCAATAATTCTAAAGCACCATGAAAGTGCTTGATAGAAATTAATGATAGAAATAGTTAATGATAGAAATTCATTAGACTTCTATTTTCAATTATAATCTACTCTTTTAAAAGGAACAGTTTGACATTCATTCTTATTTTTCTACTTATACTCTGCTGTTGAAGTTGCTTTCTTTTCACCATGGAAACTTAAAATAAACAAAGAATCATGAAGTAACATTTGCCGTTTGACAAATCTGATTAAACCAAAGGTGTTTACCATTGAAACAGAYTCTACTCACTCACTCCATCTCAGGTTTACTTTCTGTTAGACAAAATATTACTATCTTTTCCTAAAAGGAACCCAAACCATTGTCCATTGGAAACAATTATGCTTTAGAATGTTAAACATTGCAGGGGGTTCTAAAATACAAAACTATGTATTGGTTTTGGAACAGATTTCAGGAGTTTTTGGAGTATGTGCTTCAAAGACATCTTAGAGTTATTGGCTAGATTTTTAAAAAGATGTTGAAATCAGGAAAGAAAGAATTGTTTTGTAACTTGTACTTACTGTACAAACCTAGCCACAATTACTAGACCCATTTAAGATGGTAATTCAATAAAATGTTAAGGTTAGCAGAGATTGAGCATACAGTCTATTCTAAAGGTTAATTGTAGTTTGGGGTTAAAATATCTTAAGTATGCCATCTTTGACATATAATTTATGCCATTTGGAAAGAGGACAGACTTTAAAGCTAGACAGACATAGATGAAGATCAAATCCTGTCTCTTATAGTCTGCAATAGATGAGGGAGTTAACCTATTTGATGCACGGTATCCTCACTGGAATTTGCAAGTATTAACGAACATGGTATAGAGTTCAAGTGTGGTGAAGTAGAATTCTGGTCAGTGTTTAATAGAATAACAGGCACATGGTTGGTGCTTAATCTATGTTAAATCTTATTATTCTTTATCTTGACCAGCAAAACTACATTCAAACCAACAACTCTTTTAATTTTCTTTCTTTTTTTTGTGAGCTCTCATTTCATTATAAGGAAGATTTATTTGCAAAGTCAATCTTTTCATATTTAGAAAGTGGAACAGTATATGTCAAGATAAGTCATAATTAATATTTTATTTATTCAACATATATTTTTCAAATATCTGGTATGCAGAATCTAATGGTAGTCATCTAGGACGTAGAAAAATAAGAACAGTTTTATTTCAAATAGCTTTTATTCACATAGGACTAGAGGAAAATCTAATTCAGTAGAAAACACAAGACAATAGGGCATATTTCATTTTTTTTGAAGAAGAAGAATCATGACACTAACAACATCAATAATTTGGAACACACAACTGTGTTTTCAAATACAAAAAAAAAAAAAAAAGGAATCAGAAAGAAGGTGAACATTCCATGAGCATGTTCAACAATAGTATTGTTATTAGGTATTAATCCTTAATTAGATAATTATTTTGCACATCTGGGGAAACACCACTGGCAGCACAATTTTAAGAAAAGAAGTTTGGCAACATATATTTTTCTCAGCAGCTCTGAATGTCAGATCTTGGTGAATGCTAGCCAAAAAAAATTAAGGGCAAAACCACTGGCATACAGAGGACAACAAACTGATCTTATTACAAAGACAGATATCAGACCACAATAGAAAAGACACTTTAATTTTACACTAAGCCAGAAACTCCAGATTATTGGCATACAGATCAGTAAGCCTGGTCTAGAATGTTTAATCACAAAAGTAATAAATATTGGTTTCCTGCCTGACCTGGCCACCTGATTTCAAAATATCAGGATATTTGCTTTCTAATGACATAAACTGTCAAATCTCGAACCTACAAAATGGCTACTCATGTTTTACTGTATGCTGGTTTTTCCCAGCAACTACTGAAAAGGCAATTTCCTATAACCTAGCTGTCCTGTAGATAGATTCTGACATCAACGATCCAGAAAGAGTTTGAGAATCTCACAATTGAGGAAAAGCTGATGGAGATTTTTATCTGCGGTCAACTCCTCAGATTATAGAATAAGAATTCTTTATAGAGTTTTTTAAAATTCCTTTTCTATTCAATTTTAAGTTAATAAGACCGATAGGCAGATATTGCTGCAATCATTCTATCAATTATTACAAAATGCCATCTTCAAGAAAGGGCACCACAATGAAGGCTAAATGATATGACCACAATGTCCCAGAAAACATTTTCCTCTCCTTATTCTATTGGATGTTGTAACTTGCCTAAGGCCCAAACAATAAAATAAAAGAACTCCAATCTTCATTGAAGAATCCGGCATTCTTTTACTTCCAAGATATACTGATTTAAAACTGCTTCTTTTGCCATGTTTTTCTTCAGGTGGAAGTTTATGCATGTGGGTTTGTCTCACAAAGACATCTTCCAAAGGACAAGGAAATTGTACGTACAACTTGGATGTAATAACAGCACAACATAATTGAATAGTAGTAAGAATGGTAGAAAACTATCTTTGAAGCAAAAAGCAAATTCTGAATTAATAAAATAAAGTGCCAAGTCCCAAACTACAGACCCAAACACAGTAATTTTATTTATCTTATTTTGAAAAAAAAATGTTAAGTGGTTCTGGAAAAGGAAGAGATAAAAAAGAATGATAAAGATGACTAGCTTTAGTTTTTACATATAATGGCATGAAGGAAAGCATGTCCTGTGGAGTCTTGGAAAAGAAGCTGTCAAGAATGTTTCTGCTTAGAAAACACAAAGTAGAGATTTCAGAAATTATTCTGATTGTTTAGACACGGCAATTTGGTTCTGGCAGGAAAGCAGGAGAACAGAGAAAGGAAGAAAGGAAAGTATTGGTTAAAAAGATTGGCACTGTAGAGTGAATTCACTGTGTATTTGTTAACTGTTCCAGTTTGAGAATTAAGATGCTTTGAAAAATTGTTATAACTCTAATACTTTGTCACAGGGATCAACTCCAAGCAGCCCCAGATCAATTGTCTAATGTTTGTTTAACCTAACTATTTCCAACATATTGATAACTGACTTAGTTGTTGCTTAATGCATTATATAAAACCAGCCACGAATATCATAGGTAAAATGAACTGCAGTTGGTTTGGGGAAACCGAGTTCTGCAGTGTTGTGTGTGTATACTGTGTTCATTGTAGTGGTTGTCCTCTGGCCATGTGAAAATCATGCTCTGCTTCGTGCAACATGTGATGGATCAAAGCAAGTTGTTCTGATTAGGAGGCCAGGTCTATGATTTTCAATATAAATATGCCCCAAAATAGAAACTGTAAATAGGCACTTATATATTTTAGTGATGGTGTTAAGGTGATAAAATAATTAATAATACTTCTATTAAAAGGAAGTAAGTAGTACAAAATACTGAAGACCAAATATAATTGTGTCCTTTGGGAACACAAGAAATTTGATGGTGATCATGACCATGAAGAAGATCAGTTTTGAAGACAACAATAAAATGCCTTCACCTCTTAGGATAGGTCTTCTGGTTTTCATTTCTTTTGGAGGTGAAAATGTTCCCTTTATGGAAGTGGTCTAACAGATGTGTTGTTCCCTACTTCTCCCCACCCAATTCTTATTTTCTCAGCAGGCAAGTGAATTCATTCCTAAAGCGGGAAAAGTATATAAAGATAGATACCACTAGGAATGACAATGTCAGACTCTGACCGAATGGTTATGTCAAGCTCAGAATAAATCTCTTTTAACACAGAAAATCTGCTTTGTTTCTTCTGGGGCTGTTAGATTGTAATACTTATATCCAGTGAGAAAAATTGAGAGTAAATTTTCAGAAGATAAATAGTAAAAAATATTTAAATAAATTGTCCTAAACATAAATGCTGGGCGTATAAACATATATTTGCTTATTAAAGAGGAATTTTCGCCCAAGAGACTTTCCACATGATCCTTCTATTTTACTTTCATATGGAGTCTGTAAAGAAACCCAGAAAATCCACAAGGCTTTTTGATTGATCTCCAGAAATAAAACAGGACTGAACTATCAGGAGACACTAGTCCTGTGTTTTCTGAAGCCTTTGTGGGAGAAGAAGCACTGTTTTCCAAGGCTACCATGTCGTCAGTGATGCGTGAGCGTATCACATAGGGTTATATTCCAAACCAAAGGCAAAATTATGTTCCTAGGAAATAGGAAATGGGAATTGTAGAAGTTTGTTTTTAAAATAAATATGTTTTCTCCAAAAGCTGACTTCTGTCTCCATTATTGATATGTAAATCTGTTAAAATATTTAAAAATATTTCATTTTAAATATTCTCATTTACTAAATGATAACTCCTGTTTTCAATAGAGATTCAGTTTGCCCACTACTCGATAAAAGTATTTATCAGCTTAACATACCACTCCAAATTATGCTATATGATTGAGAAAATTAATTTTCTTGTTTTCTTTCTGTATCTATTATGAAATCTCATTAAACTCATAGCATTACTTACTGATAAATTTCCCCTAAATTATTATTTTTATTTACTATGTATGAGATATCATAAGACTTGTAAGAATGTGATTATCATTCAAAATATGGACCAGGATAATTGGTAATGCTCAGGGCGCCACTCTTCTACCACCCTGTCATTGGGAGCCATTGTGAATGATAAAAATTAAATGTGTAAGTGAAGAAAACTATAAAAATTAAATGGGTAAGTGAAGAAAACTAGAGCAAGTGAAGTGCCTGTTCAAAAACTGCTGCTTTATTTCAAACAAAAAGGTTGATATTCTCAAAAGGCTCCATTCTGTCCCTCAGGGCTACGGTCCATCTTGTAATAGTATAATCAAAAAGCACTGGTGCTCTGTTCTTACAACTGCATTCAGCTGTGATTAATCTTCTCCACAGTTTATCCCGGTATCCTAATGATTCTAACTGCATCCAACTGGGCACAGTGTCACCTGGAAGGATGTGTGATTAACTCAATGTGTCATTTTAAATCTCAACGACCATGGCCATGTCCTAGTGAGTTGTCTTTATCAAATTGGTGGCTCAGCAGAAGAACGTGGCTATCTTGTTGGAGGAAAGAAACATCAGTAAATTAGTATGAATGTGCTACACTGTTTGAATTTCTATTCCAACATCTTAAAAAAAAATATTTGGGAGAACTGAAAGGTAATCACGGGGGATTTATAATTACAAAGTTGCTTTTAAAACTTCACAATTATGTTTCTAATTAAAATGTGATATAAATGGTGGTTTTGTTTGTTTGTTTTCTTTTTTAAGGGAAAAGGTTTCTTTTTTAAGCCTTTGGCTTCCCTGTTTGGTTTTCTTTAAGTAAATTTCTTCAAGAAATTACTACACATTAATAAGAACTAGCAAATATAATTGGGATAAATTTCTCTGAAAATATCAAGAAAATGAAATTTACAAGAAATTCATTGCTCTTATGAGTTGATTGACCTAACTCTTATGCAATGAAAGTCATTTCTACCTAATACTAAGTTACATTCCATTTCAGATTTCCTATTTCAAAGGGTAGCTCAAATTTCTAAGATGTTAAACCAAGTATTGAGCCATTTTTGTATATGTAATAAAARTCTTTAAAATTAAAATGGTAATCCTAAAAAAACCAAATGCATGAAAATATGGTCGGACTGTATAACAAAAGAGAGTTATATAATTCTACTTGAGTGAAATCTTTCATCTTTGATTTACAGGTTAGAGTCCTCTCTAACTAAAACCATATTGTTCCATATCTTTCATATCATGGCCTTTCCTAAAACCTTGTTTTAATTAAGGTTTCTTTCAGATTTCTGAATAAAAGCATGACAATCTTCACTTATGGCTTTAATATATCCGTTGAGTTAGGAAAATATGTAAAAAGAAACATCAACTCTTTTGAAAGTATTGTCAGGTATTAAATATGCAAGGTATTCTACCTTGGTGTCCTTAGGTGTTTGAATTACACATTGAAATAGAATTTTCAGAGGTAGGGATAACCTGCTTATTTATATTTAGTAAATTTCTTTGAATCTCAGAAATAAATGTCCTTTGTTTTAAACCTTTGCAACTAAGGCAACGTGTGCAAAGGTTAAATTTTGTGTTTGTTTTCACACGAAGGCACAGTTTCTAGGTTAACTCAGTTCCTTCATTAACAGTGCCTTCATTAACACATTTCCAAATCTAGAACATTCAGTGACATTGTTTAAGCCATCTTGCTTCAATAGTCTCAAAGCTAAAAGAACACAATCAGATAATGCAACGGTGTTAATCTGAAAAGTAAACAAAATAAATGGAAAAACTCAAAGCCCCTGAGGAATAGGGGAGATTATGAGTAATTGCCAGTATTTCTAAAAGAAGGAAGGATAAAAGGTTGGGGGGGGGGAAAGATGAAGCAATGGAGGGCAGAAAAGGAAAGGTGAGAGAATAAATTCTTGATAGCTTTGGAACAAATTAAGACCATCTTTGAAAAGTCATGTGCTTTTTTTCAAAGACTGCAAATCTTCAAGGGAACATACCTTTAGAACCACTGTCATCAAGACAAGGAAGGTATGCGGGGAGGGAGACCTCATCCTCTACAAAATTGCAAATCGTCCCTGCCTGAGAACCAGGAGAGGGATGCTAGGGAAGTAGGGTAATTTTCCTCAAAAAAAAAAAAAAAAAAAGACATAAAATATTGCACCATTACATACATATGTGGGTTTCCTTTGGCATGTGGACTTTGAGATACAGCGTGGTTGGTGGTTGATTCCACTGAGAAAAGCCTCACCCCCAGGTCCTCCATCTTGAACTCTTGCTAGGAAGAGTTGAACCATGTGTTAAAATGAAGGCAAAACACAAAAACAAAACTAAAAAAAAAAAAAAAAAAAAGAACCACGGCGATCTGTCTGGAATTGCTACCCGTTCAAGGCTGAAAGCAAATCCTGGAAACAATTTAAGACTGACAAAATTTACCCAATAAAAAAACTGATCAGAATGTTAGGAATGAGTATGTTTCAGGTTTTTGCCCTAAATTTCACTGGCTGTTACAGCTTCTGAAATTAACAATATCTAATATGGTAATGGATGTTTCTAGTTCATACTTTTGTCTGGGAGTGGGTCACCCAGCGTAATAAAAGCGCGCTGGAAGCAGTTTCTTCCAATCGTGGTTTACTGTAACTTTAGAATCACAGCAGTTACGTTTCAGGAATCTTTAATGCCCTTTCAAGTCCATCCAAAGAACAAGTGAAGCTGCTGTTCAGAATTTTGTGCCCAGTGTTTATGTTCTATCGAATCTGTGCCACCCAGGCAGCAGACAAGACATGTCTGAGGGTGCTGGGGTGGGGGCATACACAATGATGTCACACACAGGAAATATTGGGGGAGACTTGGCACTTCACAAGGCTGGCTCCTCTTCCATGGGCTCACCAGCAGTTCTGTAAAAATAAACAGGCAATCAGAATACGGCATAAGAGTACACAATGACATTGTAGATTTTCATGCATAATCAAAGCTGATTTTTCAGCTCTCTCTGATGTTTATTTGTGTTATTCAGTTATCCATAAATAGAGTTTCTTTCCTAGGAAGTATAAACAAATGTCAAGTGGAAAAACATTTTGGATCCAAGCAATCATTGGAAATGTTCCTGTTTATATTAAAACATGTCAGAATATTTTATAACTCTAGATTCCAAAATGTACATGTTTTGTGTCTAGTACGGTCCAATAATTTATTGCAAAAATTAACTACAATATTTTATTTTAGGAGCAATTGCAGTGATTTCCTATGGAACCAGTTTGCTAATGAGAACTAAGGACCTAGCTAGCTTCCGAAGGAGTCTCACCAGGGCTCTGGTTTTTGCTTCTGTTCTTTCATAACTGGGTTGGCTGCCTGCCGGAGGCATTTCAAATCAAATTCTGAATTTGATTAGCAAATCGCTGCTACAGAACCAACATTTTATAAGAAATGCACTATGGTAGTGTGTAAATAGTTTTTATTCGGCATCATCTGTGGGGTGTTCTGCTCGGGCAAAACCAAAACTAATTGCTTGAAAATTTATACTTCAGATTTAGCCTTAATTTAGTAACACTTTGAGGGTGTTTAAAGGCAAACTTTTAGAATGATTTTTAATTTAGTCAAAAGAACAAATTGTAGCAGGAATCCAAATACATGAGGTAGTTGGATTGTCGGGGGAAGTTGGATTACTGGGATTTGAGATGCAGGGAGAATTGAGTTCGAGTCTGAGCTCTGTAATTTGCAAATATTGCAATTACTAATGTTGTAACTACCCTTCTGTGAAGCTATGGTTTCAGGCATAAATCAGAGGGAAAAGATGTTCCTTACGGTATTAGTGAAGGCTAAAAATAAAAATAATAATAATAATAATAAATAAAGAAGGATGTAAATAACAAACATTATGAGACATTAGTTATTCGATGTGTGGATTCATCTCTTCATCATCTACAATTTGCATTAAATCTAGTAGAGTGACACACAGATACATGACACACAGTGTCATGCCTGTGCTACCAGAGGGGAACTCACTATTTGTACGTTGGTTCTTTCTAGCTGGTGGGAGAATAGGTACGCGGTTTTCATTTTCTTTTCATAGTGTTTATCTTCTTGCCAATGTTGTATAATGAATCACTTTCATATTAGGAAAAAATGCTATGTTTGAAACACAGCTGCTTATGAAGACAAATGAACTACTTAGCCATGTTATTTTACAGATTTATAAAGAAAAAGTGCCAAGATTTCAATGCATCTTTAAATAAAGCAGTTGCTATTTTAGCTGAGCATTTTTTTATTATATATTTAAAACAATGAAAGTAAGATATTATCCATGGAGTGGTAATAAAAAAGATTTTAACACATCCTTTAAAGAATGAGAAGCAAAAGATATTCATCATTTAATGTTAGCAAATAGAAAAAATTTCTAAAATAGTCTGTGAAGAGTACTAAAAAAGAAAAAGAAAAAAAAGAAAAAAGTCATTTCTGAGGAAGTTATACCCTGTCCAAGAATGTTCAGGATACAGAGGCTGTGAGAAAGTGTTTAGACTTGGTATAAACACTTAAACCAAGATTAAAGCTAGCTAAATGAGTCATACTTAATTAAAATCCTTTCTATCTAAACTGATCAGCACTCCAAGAAGAAAAATTTAACATTTAGAAAAACATTTAAATTTTGAAACAAATTTATGTGTAAATATACAAATCTATTTACATCTGAGAATATGTGGACAAAGAACTTGCAGAATACTCAAACTGAATATTCTAATGCAAACTGAATTTTCCTAAATCTAACCAAAGCCACAGTGAGACAATTTTTTTTCCCCACATACAGGACTTGGAATTCCACAGAGAATGGGATGCAGGAAATATCCCAAGGGTCACCCACATAAAGGATCTCTCTTTCTGGTGCAGAATCTGTGCATTCCTCACAGGTCCAACCTTGTTTTTGAGGGTGTGGGCAGGGTGTCTACAACTTTTGTCACTCACTGGTGAAAACTGAGCCTCTTCTGTTGGATCACAGAGACTTGCAAGTAGAAAACCCTTCTATCAGATATTTCTTTGTCCCTAACCTCCCTTTAAAATGATTTCCTACTAACTTCTGTCTTGAAGGTAGTCCATTTACTGTTGCACACCTTTTACCGAATCACATCCACATCCACACAACTGACCAACTCTTTCTTGTCTTGCAGCTAGATGCATTTATACATAGCACATTGGAAAATAGCTCATATATAAGGGTAGATGATCTGTCTTCAAGTTCCAGCTCTGTCACTTTCTACAATTTAACTTTGAGCAAGAGTCAGTGTCTCTAGATTATCTATTTTCTCTTCAAAATGGAAATAATAACCCCTGACTTGCCCTTAAGGGTGTGGGAATCCAATCAGTTAATGAAAGAGAGCCTGCTAATGGATCATACAATGTTAAACAATTACAGAATAATTGCATTACAAGTATCTCCCATTGCAAAAATTTGTAGAATCTCCTGTCTTTTATTCATAGCTCTCAGTGCAAGGGGCATGATCTTTTCTTACTACTTGTCTCTACATAAATATTTCCTATGTTTTCATGTTTTTAAAGAAACACGTGGAAAGTGAGTTTACCTCGATTAATAAAAACACAGTCGTGGAAAAGAATGGAGGAAGGGAAGACATTGCAATTTCTACATCTTTGAACTTAAGTTCCCCTTACAAGCAGGGAGGTAGAGACAGTAAGCTCAGAGATAGCTGTAAAGTAAACCCACCAAAGATAAATTTTAGTACAACAGTTTAACTAATTGAAAGACAAAAACTTCTACTACTACAAGCCTGCCTCACAGGGAACACAGACAGTTCTCTATCAATGAAGAGCAAAAGATTGTTATTATACCATAAAGGGGAAGATCCATTCAGTCCAGCAATCATAGATTAAGTTAGTTTACAAAGGTAAATGCAGGAAGGAAAGATAAGGATAGAAAGATAAAGCATAAAATTAAATTCCTATATTTTCCCTTAAATTGATATTTTATTTTCTATGATTTWAAAAAAAAATATTTGTTAATCCATACTAAGATTGTTATTTGGTAGGACATATTTTCTCTTATTATGTTTATTTAATTTATTTGTTTATTTATTTATTTTTATTGATCGTTCCAAACATTACAGAGCTCATGATAAATCATCTTTCATACATTTGACTCAATTGGGTTTTGAACTCCCATTTCTACCCCAAATACAGATTGCAGAATCACATCGGTTACATACTTACATTTTTCCATAATGGCATATTAGTGACTGTTGTATTCTGCTACCTTTCCTATCCCCTACTATCCCCCCCTCCCCTCCCCTCCCATCTTCCCTCTCTACCTCCTCTGCTGTTGTTCAATTCTCTCCCTTTTTCCCCCTCCCCCTTGCCCCTTATAACCTCTTATAATTTTGTGTATCATTGAAGGTCTCCTACCATTTCCATATGCTTTCCCTTCTCTCTCCCTTTCTCTYCCCCAATTCGTCTTTGTTTATGTTTATTTAATTTAATCCGTGCATTTTATTTTTCCTCCTCAAAGACAATCTGATGCTTGTTGCATACATTATTTGTGTTCTTTAAAGCTATTTTTGTTTAATGGCATATCTTTTTACTTTATGTAAATTTCATTTCTATACACACATGCATCATTTCTGTTTCTTAATTTACTCAATACTGCATTTGTTAGATGCATCATTCATATTTATTTGATCTGTAGCCACTAACTACTACACGGCATCCCAGTGGTTTGCATTCATATTTTCACTATTCATTCTCACAGTAATAGACATAGGGCTTGACTCTAACACTATAGCCATCATGAATAAAGCTGTGGTCAGCCTCCTAGTACATGAACTCTAGTGACTCCAGATGAGAATRTCTTGGTATTCATTTCCAAGAGCAAGATTACTGGGTAAAATGTCTTATTGTACACTAAATGGTGTTAAACTGTTATCTAGCATACTGCCATAGTTCATTTTCCTATATCTGGAAAGGCTTCACAGCCTCACAACTGCAATGCTAGCACTACCCAGACTACTGGTCTACTGATTTCTCTCTTTCTCTTGCTTATCTGAAGTACTGCAGATTGAACCCAGGAGTGCTCTGCCTCTGGTCTACATCCCTAACACTTTTAATTCTATTTTGAGACAGGGTTCTTGCTAAACTACCCAGGCTAACCTCAAACTTGTGATCTTCCTGCCTCAGCCCCCTGAATAGTTGGGATCACAGGTGTGTGCCATTGTCCCCAGCTCTTTCCATGGACTCTTGAAATAGACATAGAGTGTTCACTCTGTACCTTGGACCTCTTTCAGGAACTGGGAAGACAGCAGTGAACAAAACAGACAAAAATCTCTATTCTTATTGAATCCCTGCTCACACATTTTAACTATTCATTTTCCCAAAAATGGACACAGGGCTTGACTAACACTGTACCTTTCATGAACAGAGCTGTAGTGAACTTCCTAGTACATGAGCTCCAGTGACTCTACACTGACCTTATCTTCTGTTTACCATCTAATGTATATAAAATAATACTGGTTCAAATTTGCATTTCTTTGATTACTAATGAGTTTGGGCATCTCTTTAAAGGATTTGTCTTCCAGCAAACCACACAATGCAGAATAAAAAGAGAATCAAAGGACTTTCATAAGTAAGTGCGATGATATGTGTCTGTCCTGCAGGTTTCTTTAATTTGCTCTTTCCAGTGTTCATGAACTCATTTTATACTGTACTGTTTTGTCCTTATGTGCTTTATGAATTATATTTTATGTTCTTTCTCTCATTTCTCTCATTTCACTTTTCTTTTTTGTATCCCTGCTTAACTATTTTATATACCTAGTAGACATTCCATAAAAACTTTATGAAATGTTCATAAACATATGTTGGGATGATTTTATAGCTCTTTAGAAGTAATATAAATCAAGAA